GGGCGCAACACTGAGGGTTGCGATCCGTTGCCAGACACAAAAAAAGACAAAAAGGAAAAAATAAAATAAAATAAAATAAAATAAAAAAATTTTTTAAATAGTCTATTTTTTTATAATTCTTTTTTATTAGCATATTCTTTATTACAAATTGTAATTTTTCTTTATGCCTTTACCCGACCTATCATTCCCCAACCCCCTTCCCTCCCTCCCCCCCATCTCTAGTATCCTTAGGTTTGTTCTCTCCTTCTGAAAGTTCAACACATTATTGTGGTCTTTTCTTTCTTTCTATCTTTCTTTCTTTCTTTCCTTTTTTCTTAGCACCCAGTTATGAATGAGTACATACAAATATGCCAATAAAAAAAAACATACCAACATCATAGGTGGCTGTGAGTATTAAATGATCACACTAATCATGATACTGTAGTATCAGCAAACTACAGCCCCAGGTCAAATCTGGCCCACTGTCTGTTTTTGTATGGTCCCCAAACTTAGAATGTTTTTTACAATTTTAAATGATTGAAAAAAGATCAAAAAAGGAATATGAATATGATACTCAAATTTCAGAGTCCATGAATCAAGTATTATTGGCATACAGCCACATCCATTCGTGTTACAATGGCAGGGTTGAGTAGTTGCAACAACAGAGACCTTCTGGTCCACAGACCCTGAAATATTTACTATCTGGCCTTTTACAGAAAATGTTTTCTGACACCTGGCAGAAAAGGGACATATAGTAAGACTTGAATAAAAGTTAGCTATTGACATAATTATTACTAATAATAAATGTATCTTTCTTAACTAAGCAATGCTGAACACCGAATCTTTTTCATTACCCCATCAGTTTTATCATTTACGAATTTCCAAACAGGAAATAGAAAATATTATGTCATAAGAAAATTTTATTTAACTTTGCTGCTGCTGTCCGATTCAAACCCTTTTGTTTTACAGAAAGCCCAATAAAGTCTTGATTTTCTTTATTTTGAGTACTATGGTTTTCCCATTGAGTATGTGTACAATTTCACCATGTACATGAAAGTAGGCCCTTAATATTGTAGACAGTTAAAAATCTTGATTCTCATTTGATTTTTTTTTTTTTTAAAGATGACCAGTAAGGGGATCTCAATCCTTGGCTTGGTGCTGTCAGCACCACGCTCAGCCAGTGAGCTAACCGGCCATCCCTATACAGGATCAGAACCTGTGGCCTTGGTGTTGTCAGCACCACGCTCAGCCAGTGAGCCAAACCGGCCATCCCTACTATAGGATCAGAACCTGTGGCCTTGGTGTTATCAGCACCGCACTCTCCGGAGTGAGCCACCGGCCGGCTGTCTCATTTGATTTTTAGACAGGGCTCTTTAGCTAAAAAAAATTATGGGACAAAAGTCCTTAGCTAGGAGGCAACGGCCTACAGCTAACTGGCAAAAGCCCATCTACTCAATTCTAATCACTGTTTAGGGATAGGATTATGTACTCTGATTATTTAACATACTGATTGTTGTTAAAAGATATTGAAAGAATTGCTGTAGGGAAAAATGTGAAAAAATGTTTACTAAGGGCAAGCTGTTTATTGGTGGAAACTTTAGAGACAATTATACTTAAATTTAATCATAAGAATATAACTTTTTTCTTTTTAAACTTATGCAAGTTTTTGTTTGTTTGTTTATTTGTTTGTTTTTTGGTGGCTGGCTGTCATGGGGATCCAAACCCATGACCCTGGTGTTACAAGGCTGTGCTCTAACCAACTGAGCTAACTGGCCAGCCAAGAATGTAACTTTTGCTTAAATCATTTAAGGAGAGATTAGATAATGATCACGGTTTGATCAATGTAGCTTTTCACGAATTGTACTTCGGAATGTCACATTATTAATTTAAATTATGTTACTAGTTTCTATTGTTTAAGCTATACTTAGCTGCAGATAACTTTTGCCACTGCTGCCCATGTCTTTGTGTCCTTTTGAAATGATTGAAACAACTGATTTTTCTTGTGAAACTTCCTTATCTTTACAATAAAAAACAGAAGCTAACTTTGAATAGGGGCTGTACCCAGTTTCTCCTTCTAACAGAGGAGTTGCTGAGGTGCAGTCCCCTCAGGCTTTTCATTGCATTCACGTTGCTTTGAGTAATCTTTTTTGCGTCTCAGTTACACAGTGAGAAGTGTAACACAGTATTATTCGTTTAGTCCTGGCAGGCAAATGGGCAACTGAGTAAGACCACTAACATAAAATTACAGCTGCCAATAAAAAAAGAGTAACGAAAGCTAATAACTATAAATCCCATCATCAATTGTAATTCACAAACTTTTTAAAGTACTTGGAAATTAAGCACACATGTAATCAGGTAGGAATGATTTCAGTTACCCATTTCTTATTTGTCTGTCCTCCTCAAAGGAATGCCCATTCTGCTTTTGTAGTTTCCTCTGCTTATATTCCAAAACAAACTATCTTAACTTGAAGGTGTAAAGTTATCTTCAGAGCTGTGAGTTCAATTTGAACTAGCTGACCATGGCCAGGGCAAGTAAACTAAAGCTGTCTAAAATATACATGTCCCATCCCGTGGCTTCCCTGAGTCCCTGGGCCTGCCCTTTCTACACAATACAGATGATCACGGGCCGGCCTGTGGCTCACTCGGTAGAGTGCGGTGCTGATAACACCAAGGCCACGGGTTCGGATCCTATGTAGGGATGGCCGGTTAGCTCACTGGCTGAGCGTGGTGCTGACAACACCAAGTTTAAAAAAAAAAAAAAAAAAAAAATACAGATGATCACAATCAACACCATTGTACCTCTTCACTAGCCAACTGGTCACCTAGTTACCTGAGCTACATATATAACCTTTAAGATTCTCAACCCAAGGGCTGGCCTGTGGCTCACTCGGGAGAGTGTGGTGCTGATAACGCCAAGGCCACGGGTTCGGATCCTAAATAGGACTGGCCAGTGCGCTCACTGGCTGAGCGTGGTGCGGGTGACACCACACCAAGGGTTGCAATCCCCTTACCGGTCACGAAAACGGCAAAAAAAAAAGATCCCCTTACTGGTCATCTTTTAGGGAAAAAAAAAAAAGATTCTCAACCCAAACCTAGAATGCTTTTCCTGTAGTTCCAAAATGTATCTGAATACTCATCTCTTTCCCCCCTACTGTCTCAGGAAGTTTTTCCAGTAATAATTTCTTCACAGCCCTATCTTACTTGTCCCACTGTTGATTTGTTCAATTTTGATAAGTACCCGTCCTCTAGAGTCAGAAAATCTGGGTTCAAATTCTGACTCTGTCACTTACAGATATCACCCTGGGTAAATTCTTGAACTTATCAGAACCTGCATTTTCTCAATCCATGCAGTACACAGGGATAGTGGTAAGACCTACCTTAGAGAGCTGTTCAGGGATTTACACAGAGTGCCTAACTAAGCATTAAATTAAAGTTAGCTGTTATCATTTTTCAGAGCCACCTACTCACTGATTCAATCAACTTACAAATACTTATTGCACATCTATTATGGACTTGACATGTTCCCAGGTCCTGGGGATATGAGGATGAACAAAACGTCATGGTCTCTGCCCTCTTGGAGTTCACCATTCCAGTGGGATTAAGGGACAAATAGGTTGTGCTCTAACTATACCTTATTAGGACACTGTCATACTGTTAAAATGACTTACTCCCCATTTATAAAAGTTAGCAATATCGAAAAATGCCATAGAAGTATGGTCAAGAAAACTGGAGTACTTTCGTGTGAAGTAACATTATGCCTAAGAATTTTTCGCATAAAAAAATGCTTACATTACGTGAAAAGAAAAAGCAGGATATAAAACTGAATATAATATTACCTATACTATGTTTTTTAAATTAAGATTTTGGTCTTAATTTGGTCAAAAATACACCATGTTAAATTTTAATATATTTAGGTGATTAGGTTGTAGGCAATTATCAGTTTTTTGTGTTTTCAAAAACACAAGATATTTTTTAAAGCACATTACATATTTTAGAAAGGCCTTTTTGAAAAGTGTAAGTTAGTACCAAAGAGACACCTAATCCTTTCTACTTCCTAAGCAAACAAGGAAGTTTGAAACGAAGTTTTAAAACTGAAGGAAAAGGCAGGCTCTGTTTTAGATCACTTCCTTGAATCAGGATGGTTTCCGGTATGAAAACTGTAGTTTTTCATTTACTCATACGCAGTGAGCAGAACCAAGTATTTATAAAACAGGACAGTGTAGAGGGCTGCTGTTCACAGTCAAATAAAAATATTACACGAGCCAGATATGCAATTTTAAATTTTCCAGTAGCCACATTCAAAAAGGAAAAAGAAAGAGATGAAATTAATTTTCATAACATAGCTTATTTAACTCACTGTACCCAAAAATGTTATTATCTGAACACATAACCGACATGAGAATTTATTAGGGCGCTATTTTACATCCTGTGTTTGTACTAAGCCTTCCAAAATCAGGTGCATATACTTGGAGCACGTCTCAGTTGGGACTTGCCACATCTGCAGTGTTCCACAGCCACATGTGGCTAGTAACTCCCACATTAGACAGGGCAGGCCTAAAGCAGCTAAGAGCACCAGAAACACCAAGAGCCACCTTCTCAATGACGGCCATTTAAGAAGTAATGTTAGACCCAAAGATACTTACTGAATGATCCCATTTTATAAAGTTTTGGAACAGGCAAAACCAAGCCATGATGGCAGTCAGAACAGTGGGGGACAGGGGAGGATGGATTGACTGGAAAGGGAAGCGAGGGAACTTTCCGAGGTGATGGAAATGGTCTACATCTACGTTCAAATAGGGTTACACGGGTGTCTAATTTGTCACATCCCATCGATCTGCACACCTAAATGGGGCATTTTATTGTGTGTAAACTACATATCAATTTTTTTTATGTTGTCCCCAAAAAGCTAGACTGTAGGAACAGCGTAGTTGGCACTGTGCGCCCTAACCAGCTAATATGGGGGAAACGCGAGGGTCGTTGTTGAACGGCTGCACTGGGGCCTGGGAGGGAACAGAAAGGCCATGTCACCCGCGCTGATCGCCAGCCTCGCCCGACCCCCGCGCGGGGCTCCACTTCCGCCAACGCCATCTCGAGAGCCGAGAGAAGCGGGGCTGGGGACGCAGGCGGGTGCGAGAGAAGCGCGCCCCGAGGACGTGCCACTCGGGACCCCGACGCCACTGAGCACGGGCGGGCGTCCCCCGGTCCCCGCGCCCCG